GTGACAGCATCTTAACCCTTCCACCTCAAGCCTCTAGCCTTAAAACCAAGGTCAATTCCTGTTGGAGCTGCACTCGTATAAGTTGAACCACTTACCATAACTCGTTGGCTTGATGTTCCGGGCTGCAGTTTGCCAAATAATGAACCACAATCAGTAAGTTATTTGTAAGTCATATTATAGATGAAATATGTATGATTATATACNACCATAACTCGTTGGCTTGATGTTCCGGGCTGCAGTTTGCCAAATAATGAACCACAATCAGTAAGTTATTTGTAAGTCATATTATAGATGAAATATGTATGATCATATACATCTAATATTTTAGTTCCACTTGCAGCTGTGTAGATGCCAAATCCAACATTTTTGGACCTTTTTTGTGCTCCTTTTTCAGCATCTTCTTTACTTGTACCCCTTCCTCTCTTTTGGCTGGTAGTTGCTTTACCTTTTAAAGGAAGTTGACTACCTAATCCTCTTCTAGCAGGCCTGCTCGAATCTGTTGAACTTGGTGTTGGTTGGCTTGAGCTTCTAGCTTCATTAACCCTTCTAACCCTTGTTGTATCAAAGCACACAGAGTTTGTAGGTTGGCTTGAGCTTCCAGCTGCATCAGGTTGGCTAGCACCTTGTGAGCTTTGGCTACCTTGTTGTGAAGGCATCCAATTTTCAGCCTACATAACATTGAGCAACATCAGTGAATAACAGTGATGGAAACAGATTACTACATTCATATGAACAACAGGAAACATGAGATGGCAACAAGAAATATTTGACAAGAAACATTTACCTTACAATATCTTTTGTTATGTCCTTGTTGATGGCACTTGGAACATGTCATTTTCACTCCACACTTGGACAACTTTCCATATTTCTTTTTTGGTTCATCTTTGCCTTTTCTTCTGTTCCTCTGAGGTCTACCAGGCATGAGTTTAGGTTTGGGAGGCTTATCTTAGGATTGTTGGTTTCAGGCCACATCTTCATATTTATCATAGGCTGGATGAAATACGTGTATGTTTTTAAGAAGGTATCCCTCTTATACCAATGCTCTACTGCCTGTTCAGGTTCTTCGTTTATGTGATAGTATGCAAGAACAACATGTTGACATGGAATACCCCTCAACTGCCAAGCTCTACAAGTGCAAACCTTATGAGTGAGATTAACTACATGCTTATGCAGCCCTTCTCCAATCTCAAATCCAACATCAGCATTCCAAAGG